TTGTTTTTTTGAGAGATGACATTAATAAAAGTTCTTATCTCTTCATTCAGTGGAATGGATATACTCAACTGCTGTAGATTGGTGTTGTGTCTGAGACCAGTTGTTAGGAAGGACAGGAATGAACTGGGAATAGTGTCTTTATAGCTATTATGAATCTCAAGGTATTTCAGTGTTTGGTTTTGTGTTAGCATGTCTTGTAGACTAGTACCCATACTGCTGGTATATACTCTCTCCTCCTTTATCTCCACACTCAGAGCTTTAAGTGTAGTATTGGTTTGTAGAATAGTAAATAGTTTAATAGCACTCTCAGCTGAGTCTAGTGGTAAAGTAAGTGTATGTAAACTGGGATGAGAGAGAAATAGAAGATGTGGTGGGTATGGATCATCATGTAATATCAGACAGTGTAATCCTTTGATATGTGGAAGGAGTGATGATGTCATCAGTTCACTACTCCATTTTCCAATCTCTAGAGCAGTCAGTGGTGTGTTCACCTCTACTATATTCAGTGATGATGGTAGGAGTTTATCATGTATGGCCAGTGAAAGAGCTTGTAATGTGTTGTTGTGCTTTAGTAACTGCTCTATTACTCCATCAGGTTGAGGAGGAGGACGAGCAAGTACATGCATTGCTAATGATGTTATTGTTTTATTTCTTGTTACTCCTCTAATGACACTGATAATTGTACTTGTTATTTCATTTTTTCCTCTATACTCAATCTTCATTTCTTGTAGTGTTGAATTTATTTCTATACATTTCTCAAGTTCAGTGCACTTGTCTGTGTAGTATGTATTGTCAACTGTTGGTATAGTAAGACGGTACATCATTAAGTGCAGTATCTTCAATTGAGGAAGATTGAGTAACTGTAACATTACAAGACAGGGAACATATTGACCTGATGATAATACACAGTAGCACTCCTGAATATTGTATAGAAGTGATGGTTGTAATAATTTGTGTATTAATTCATCAACGGGTTCAAACAACTTTACCTCCAGTCTCTTACACTGGGTCTGTAGTGAGTTATTGGTTAGTCCAGCAGTGAAGACTGATAGTGACTGGTTAGATAAAGTCCCCAGGTGCAAGTGATTCCACGTTGTGTTGGAATTGTTTATACAATAACTGAGACACAACCAGTCAAACAATGATAATGATACTCTATCTCTATACAGACACAGTGAGTGGTTGTTGATGGATTGTGCTAATACTTGACATAATGTTGTGTTCTGTGATTCATACAGGAGTTGAAGAAGAAGAATGGGAACACTGTCAAAATCATCAGATCTGATATGATCGCTTTTAACATCATGCATTGTTCTAATCTCAGGATTCTGATAGAAAGTATAGCAAGTCTCAAATCCAAACAATGGTTTTCTCTTACACTGTAAGTCAAGTTGTTGTTTATTAAAATACTGTTGATAGCTCTCATGTTCAAGGTGAGTTAGACCTGCCACAAACCTCAGACACATTTGAAAGTGATCATCATCAAAGTGATCCTTAAACACTTCCTCTGTCTTCTTCTCATGCTTAGCTATCCACCATGCAGTTAGAAATTCCTGTATACTCAAGTGAAGGAACTGATACTTCTCTTCATCATATTCTGTGAATCTTGTCATCAATCCAAGGTAGTCTTCCTTGACTGCCTCACTCAGTGACTGTAGTTGATGTGAAGAGAATGTCATTCTTGTATTAGCCAGGTTAGTATAAGCTAATTGACACATCTCTTGTAAAGGTTTAGCTAATTGTGATGGTAATGAAGAAAGACTACCTAAAGTATGTGGGTTAATGTCATGTCTTTTAACATGTCTTCTGATAGTTTGTAGGATAAAGTTCTCATACAGTTGAGTGAGTGTTGTTGGTAAGTGTCCTCCTTCCTTACAATAAACTAAGATGACCATGGAACAGACTAGTGGTACATAACACAATGATTGGACATCATTTCGTACTTTAAGATCATTAATGAGTTTCACTGCTAGTTGTGAGTCTTTACTGCTTTGAGTAGTTGTGAAATGTGATTTTGTAAAAATAAAATTATCATGTTGTTCTTTCTCATGAATGAGTTCTTGTGCTAGTTTTGTATCTTTTTGAAGTGTTTGTATAATTACTGTTGATATTTCTTTCTCAAAAAACCCAATGACCTGAACATGTCTACTGAGAGTATCCATTTTTAAAAGTGAAGAGGAGGCATAGCTACGAGAGGTTACAATTACTGAACATTGGTCTAACTTCTCTTTACAAATGATACTAGCAGCTAATGAAGACTGTCTGAGTTGTTCACTTAGTTCATCCCAACCATCAAAGATTATTAGTAATCCTTCTCCATTCCTCTTCTCAAACCATTCAGCTACCATGGGAACTTCATAACGTTGACGCACAAAAAGGTCAGCTAGTGTAGTAGCTGTAGCTATCTTGCTATTCCTTAAAGGACAGTAAAGTACCAAGTCATACTGTTGGTGTAAAAGTGTTCCATTAGACCATATATTTAACAGTTTACGACAGAGTGTGGTCTTGCCAATACCAGGAGGACCATCTATTACTACTCTGAGAGACAGAGAACTATTTGTGGATTGGAGGACATCTTCAACACTTATCTCTTTGTTTTCAGTTAGTTTAACTGTTTTATCAATTTGTCCTCTTAGCATATGCCAAGCTGATTTTGCTTGTGTACTGGAGTCTTGTTTTTCTACTAGTGCTAGTCTTCCAAAGAAATCTTTTCCAATTCTTGGCGGCCAGTCTGTAGCAACAATAGGTTGATGTTTGTAGTGTTGTCTCATATTGTCAGCATATCCTTGAACATCATCAGGTATTGAACTAATGGGTTTAGCTACATCAGACTGACCTATTGATCAAGATACATAAAAACAATGTATATAATTTATTACCTCTTATATTAGTAACTGGTGTATTGGATATATCATCAACTGGTGATGGTAGTACAGTATGTGAACTGACATTATCAGGTATAGACTGACCTAATGTATTGAGATATAATGATTATATTGATCACTGATAATGTACACACACACACTCACCTAACTGGTGTAATACAGAGGTAGCAATATCTGTTAGTATACGATGCTGTTGGTTTATTAATACATGACATATATCAATAAGATACTGCTCTGGATTAAGAGAGGATTCAAACTGTTGTTGTATCACAGACATTAGTTGTCCAGATTTAACAATGTCAGAAGAAGCTGCTGTTTGAATATTATTAATAGTTTCCATTGGTATTAGTCCTTTAGCATATAGTCCATTTGTTACTCTGTAAAGATTATTAGTAACAGCATCAACAAGAATAGCATAATTCATCCTTAATATAGCACTAGGAGTGTTACCTGCAGTAGTATTTTGTATCAGTTAATGAGTGCGATTGTATTAAGTGTTTGTTTACCTGATGTAGTACTAGTAACAGGTTTATTAATTACAGAAACTGATGATAATACAGTAGATACTGCTGGTACAGTACTAGTAGGAGCATCAGTATCACCTATTATACATTTAATATAATTATTAATAATAAATACATAATCGTACCTCCTGTACATTGATGTACTTGTAACTGATCAGTAATTGTTTGTAATAAAATGATCTCTTCTCTTTTAGTCAATGCATTGAGTACATCTCTCCATGTTGCTGTAGGATCTGTATTCAACCATTTTGTAAATAAAGCTAGTTTTTGATATTTAGTATCCACTTGTTCAATTATTGTAATTTCATCCTGCGTTATTCCAGGTAAAAGAAGACCAAATGATTGCCAGTCTACAAGTGGTTCAAGCCATTGAAGTAATAGGAAAATATCAGGTTGATCATCAATCATAGGACCAGGATTGAGTTCAACATCTCCTGATAAGAGGAGGAGGAGAAGTAAAACCAAATAGTAGATCAGGTCAGAGCTACTGCCAATAGTAGCTATAAACAAGACTAATGACTGGAGGTAGTGGATCATAACAGTAACAGTAATTATACCTATTGTAAATACACTGTATGATAATATTATATACGTAGTGGCTATTTTTACGGTCCCGTAATCTCATTGTATACAGCTATTTTTACGGCAGGGAATATAGAAATGAAGTGACGTATAAAGATGACAATCAGCATCAATAAGGCAGCAGAGTTGTGGTGGCACAGTGGGGAAGGCGCTGGGTTGGATACGGACGAGCACTGGTTCGAATTCAGCTCAGACCATTTCTTTTTTTTATTTTTTATAATTTTGACTTTAACAAATTGATTTTTTTTATCTTTCTACTTCGCTATGTTCCCTAATTATGTTAGGAGCCCTAGTTATGTTAGGAGTCCCCTACTTAGCTATTGTTTTTAGGGTTTAGGGGTTAGGGTGGCGGTTTTTTTTTTAGAGCGTCCCCAGTCATTTTATGAGCCCCCTAGTTATGTTAGGAGTCCCCAAGGTTGGTTTAGGGTTTAGTTTTTTTTATTTTAGAGTGTTTCCCAGGTTTTAAAATGAGTAAATCCATACTCACCCTGCCGTAAAAATAGCCACCCACGGTCGGATTACGGGCCCGTAAAAATAGCCACTGCCTATTATATACTGTTAGTTTGTTTACCAGTTGGAGGAATAAAATTGAGCTTCACATATCTTAATAAAGATAAAAGAAGAGAAACAATAAGAGACAGAGCTGCTGGCAGTTTAGATGTCTTTTCTCCTGATGTAGTACTGCCTGATTTGCTGTCTACTGCAGCTTCGAATGAGTGAGAGTGGTGGCCATTAGCTGGTCTACTGGAGGCAGCTTGACAGTAGTTCCACAGTCCAATACTTGCTCTCCATTGAGAGACATCAATCATCTTGTAATTATTAGTAAAGTATAATGAAAATGAACTATAATATACTTACCTCTATCACTGTTAATGATCAACTGTTGTAAGATAATGAAATGAAAAGATACAGTCAAAAGTACAAGCCAATTATGCTGCAGTTGCAAAGAGGGCGTGTCTCCTAAACCACAAAGCTAATTAGCCACACCTCCTGATTAGCTCAAACAGCATGAGTGAATTTGATCATAATAAAACCAAAAAGAGACACATAAATAAGAGTGAAGTTATATCATCATCATTATCATTGTTAATGTCTAAAAGTTTTCTTTTCTAAATTTAAATCCATAATATTGAGACTTCACTGATAATACTCTAGCCAGTACTGGTGACCCACAATAGAATACTGTCACTGGTCCATATCCATTCTCCTTTAGCTCTTTAAATATCTATTAATAACACATTAACCAACAACTCAATATAATTAATAATACACACACATGTATCAGTCTATTACTTAAGGAGGATATTACAAAAGGTCAGTGTAACGTCAATTTTTAATCAAATGTGTGGGTGGTTTGACCTTTTGCCTCATGCTGATTTACAATATGACATTAGGCCAGCGTACTGTTAATTTTTAATCAAAAGCGTGGGCAATTTTGACCTTTTGACACATGCTTTCCACTAAAATAGAACCAAATCCTATTCTAGCGTCAATGTAACGTCAAGCCTATTGTAATATTGTAAATCCGCCTTTATGCTAGAGTTGAACTAAATTCTATTCCCCCAGCATTAACATACAGACCTAGTATAATATTGTAAACCAATGATTAGACACTAACCTCACACTAACTGCTCCTATCCTATACATATACATGTACATGTACACCTGCTAATATTGGCGGAATATAATATACAGGTGTATTTTGTTATTTATTTATAATATTGTTGGTTGCTATATATATATATATTCGTACCATTTGGTGTTGTATAGTTGTCATAAAGTATTGTCAGTATAGACCAGTAATACTACACTACCAATACTATCAGTTATACAGTATCACCATATCTCTCTTCTCTCACCCTCTCCCTCCCTCTCCCTCTCTCTCTCCTCCTATATTACCTTATCCCAGTTAGGTCTACCAGTCTGTGTCCTGGTCTTCAGTCCAGTTATAAGATCAATGTTCTTTTCTTTGTGTATCAGATCAAGAGCCATTTGTAGTCCTAATGCTTTAACATCAGTCCTTTGTAAAGCTGATGTGATGTACATGTGCATATCAAAGAACCGATCCATTAGTGTTCCATATTCATTCTGTTCCATTTCCAGTTCATTCAGTAGCTCCATGAACCACTCAAAGTGTCTCTGGTCACGATTGATCCAAATGAAATCAACCTAGCAATGATTCATAATAATTATCATTATTCAGTTTTAAAATGATCATAACTTGGAAAGTTTTAGTCAGAAACAGCTCAAACTTTCTACACAGCATAAGGACATCAATATGTATCAGAAAATGTAATAAAAATTTGGGGTGATTTCGGAGCCATTTTTTGAAAAAAAAGCATGGGCTATAGCCTTGGGTATTCTTTAGAATTTTCGCATTCTCTTGAAATGGCCATAATCCAAAAAAATAAAGTCGGAATCAACTCAATCTTTCTACACAGCATAAGGACATCAATAAGTATCAGTATCATTAATGTATCATAGTATGCTGTACCTTCTTAAGGTTCAGTATGGTTGATGGTATTTCTCCAGTCCATGAGTGAGAGCAGTGAGGACACTTTTGTTTGCTCAGTTTAAACCTGTTCATTATACTCTGGAGTATAGAGGCAAATGGAGTCACTCCAATACCACTGCTGATCAGTACAGCATGTTCTGATTGGAATATAGCACTGGAGGGGGTACCATAAGGACCATCAATATGTACCTAGTGCATGATACATAGCATTAGGATTACACATGTACATGTAATCAATATGATCATAAAATTCTTTCTAGCTACATGTAGCTATAAGTTTGGTTTATATCTTACAATATACATTAAAACATATTTTTGTGAGCTATGTTGGTGATTTTGACTTTTTGATGCATACATGTAGGTTTAGAATGCTCTGGCTTGTGTTTTAAATATCATCATCTTCCATAAGGCATAAACAGTACTATACATATATTTTTATATATACATTGTAGTTTACAATATAATGCTAGGTCAGTGTACCATCAATTTTTAATCAAAAGGGTGGGCGATTTGACCTTTTGACACATGCTTTCCGCTAGAATAGAACCTAATTTTATTCCAGCATCAACGTAACATCAAGACTAGTGTAATATTGTAAACCAGCTTTGTATGGTAGCTTTGATTGCTGGGTACATTTTAAGGCATTCTAATGCAGTAAAAAGTAACGGCTTAACAGTCATACATAAAAAGCTCCAAATAAATTCCTACAATACAATTATTGCACACTCAATTACTTACATGTACATGTACAATATTTCTATTAATATTGTATTGTATTGTACCTCAAATCTGCTATCACAAAAGAATGATTTACATGTATATTTTCCTCCGTATTTCCTGATAGTGTGTGTTGATGGTTGTCTCTCATCCTGTGACTGTATCTTTTCCCTTCCTTTAAAACTGAACCTCCTGTGGACTAGAGTACCTAACCTCCTCGGTAAACTATCTATAATAATAATAATAATAATAATACATGTAATAATAGCAATAATAAATAAAATGAGAATTTTAAATTAAATTACTTCAAACTTCACATACGGTAAAAAGACTGACAAATTAAACACTTAAGCTACGTTTACTGTACAGTCAAAATAATGGTCAAAATGTTTGGGCAATCTGACCTCTTGATGCACAAATGAAGGGAAATTGGCCAATTTTTAATTATTTGTAGCAACTGTAAACCAGGCTTTAAAAGCTCTCTTAGTTTTAGGAAGTGAAGGGGGCACAAAAATTCTAAAGTCTTCAGACCCCCTCAACACAATCAGTAGTATAATCCTTACCTACAGTATTACCAGTAAAAGTAGGAGTACCAGTTGTATATTTATCATTGTATGCATTATTGAAGTGCTCATAGAGTTCATTAGTCCAACTGCCCACTCCTCTAATATGTAACCAGAAGACATCACTCATCTCTGGGGCTGAACTGATAGTGAATGGATGCCACTCATACCTAGTGATACTGGGTATCTGGATGAAGACATAGTCTCCTGGCTGATAGTTGAAATTAGGAGGTCTTGTTATGGAGAGATGTGTTACCTACATGTATATGAAGTATTGTAATAGAATATTATAGATAAATTATGAATTAATGTTTTTAACATACATGTATACGGTATAGCTCCAAATTTTTGTCAGTCAAAATTTTTGTCAAATTCGTCAGGTAATTTTGCTTGATGAAAATTTTAACCTGACAAAAAAATTGTTCCACGTGGGTAGTATGCAGATTAATTACGAAAATGACGAAAATTTTGTTGATGAAAATTAATTTTAACAAGAATTTAAGATTTTGACGAAATTATTGACTGACGAAAATTTGGAGCTACAATGTATATGGTACCCCAGTAAAATAATGTTTGGTGTTAATTGTGAGCAATTGATGCAATAATAATAAATAGATTAGCTGAAATTTCTCCTGAATCAGATGCAAGAGAGATAGCAGAAGATTGGAGAGAAGAAGTCTCGAAGACACTTCATTTTGAATTTAATGTTTTATAATAACAATATGCCTAGTTCTGCTATCATCATTAGTAGGTTTATTATCATTATCATCATTATTATTATTATTGTTGTTGTTGTTATTATTGTTATTATTACCTTGGATGGTAGCAGGTTTACTTCTTCAATAAACGTGCGTCCATAATGTATAATGTGAAACAATTTCGACCGAAATATCTTCTCAATTATAAATACGATAGCAGGACCAACGAACCACTTCCAGAAGTGAGGCCCATGAAGTATCAATACAATATACCAGATGATGTACAGGCAATGCGACCAGTAGAATACTTCAAATTTTCCTTTACGTCTTACAACAGGCAGCGAGCATATAAACATTATTATTAGTATTATTAGTAATAGGAGTCCTGTTAGTCCAGCGGAGCCATAGACCCAACCAATTGTACCAACACCAAACAAGTACTGGACCATTGAAGAATTAGAATTTATGCTGTCGTTAATTTCAATGAAACCTATTGGTAATAATAATAATAATAATAATAATAATAATTAATGTGTTCTATTTTTAGTAACATACACCATAATAGTCTATTATTAAATGTTCCTAATTTCAAACACTAATAACTTGAAAAATTTAAGTCAGAATCAGCTCAAGCTTTCTACACAGCATAAGGGCATAAATATGTATCAGAAAATGTAATAAAAATTTGGGGTGATTTCGGAGCCATTTTTTGAAAAAAACCATGGGCTATAGCCTTGGGTATTTTTCGGATTTTTGGTATTTTTTTCAAAATGGCTGTAACTTGAAAAATTGAAGTCAGAATTAGCTCAAACTTTCTACACAGCATAAGGGCATAAATATGTATCAGAAAATGTAATAAAAAATTTGGGGTAATTTTGGAGCCATTTTTTGAAAAAAAACCATGGGCTATAGCCTTGGGTATTTTTTGGATTTTTGGTGTTTTCTTAAAATGGCCGTAACTTAAAAAATTGAAGTCGGAATTAGCTCAAACTTTCTACACAGCATAAGGACATTAATATGTATCAGAAAATGTAATAAAATATTGGGGTAATTTGGGAGCCATTTTATGAAAAAAACCATGGGCTATATAGCCTTGGGTATTTTTCAAATTTTGGCCAATTCTAAAAATAGCTGTAACTTGAAAAATTGAAGTCGGAATCATCTCAAACTTTCAACACAGCATAAGTACATCAATAGGTATCAAAAAAATGCAATAAAAATTTGGGGTGATTTCGGAGCCATTTTTCAGGAAAAACCATGGGCTATAGCCTTGGGTATTTTTTAAATTTTAGCCATTTTCTTAAAATGGCCGTAACTTGAAAATTTGAAGTGGGAATCAGCTTAAACTCTCAATACAGCATAAGGGCATCAATAGGTATCAAAAATGCAATAAAAATTGGGGGTGATTTTGGAGCCATTTTTTGGAAAAACCATGGGCAATATTTTCAAATTTGGCCAATTTTAAAAATAGCCGTAACTTAAAAAAATCGAAGTCGGAATCACCTCAAACTTTCTACACAGCATAAGTACATCAATATGTATCAGAAAATTTAATAAAAATTTGGGGTGAGTTTGGAGCCATTATTTTTTCAGAAAAAACCATGGGCTATTATAGCCTTGGGTATTTTTCAGATTTTGGCCATTTTCTTAAAATGGCCGTAACTTGAAAAATTGAAGTCGAAATCAGCTCAAACTTTCTGCACAGCATAAGGACATCAATATGTATTTTAAAATGCAATAAAAATTGGGGGTGATTTTGGAGCCATTTATTGGGAAAAACCTTGGGCAATATTTTCAAATTTGGCCAATTTTAAAAATAGCTGTAACTTAAAAAATCGAAGTCGGAATCACCTCAAACTTTCTACACAGCATAAGTACATCAATATGTATCAGAAAATTTAATAAAAATTTGGGGTGATTTTGGAGCCATTTTTCAGAAGCCTTGGGTATTTTTCAGATTTTGGCCGTTTTCTTAAAATGGCCGTAACTTGAAAAATTAAAGTCGAAATCAGCTCAAATTTTCTACACAGCATAAGGACATCAATATGTATCAAAAAATGTTATAAAAATTGGTGGTGATTTCGGAGCCATTTTTCGGAAAAAAAAACCATGGGCTATAGCCTTTGGTAATAGCATACATGTATTTATCAGACAGTTCGTAACTAAAAGTATAACTCACTGAAATTTGCAAGATGTGCCAAGAAATGAACAAGGGATAGTACAATAATAGTATACCCCACAATCTTGTGTAGTTTAATGAACTTGTCCAGTGGAAATAAAAAAGAGAGTCTTGTTGATCTAATGAGTGTAGCAATATGACGATACATCAGTATAAGGACAACCACTGGAGAGAAGTTAAGACAAGCACCTGCTCCTCGTGCTATTGATACTAGAAACACTGAGAGGGAGAGAGGGGAATTAAGAGAGAGAGAGGAAAATGTTATAATTTTTAGGATACATGTACATGTACAACATGTACATGTACATGTACAAGCACATGTAAATGATATCAATAAAATTAATAAGTTGTGAAATAAACTTTAATTTTATTTATCATTAATAATAACATTATTATTATTATTATTATTATCATCATCATCATCATCATCATCATCATTATCATCATTATTATTATTAATCTTATTCTTCTTAGACCCGCTGCTACATGTACATGTACATGTACATGTATAAGGTGGTAATAAACTTAACTATTCTTCTAATTATTATTATTATTTACTTGATTCCCTGTATCTGATTGCTGCCTCCACAAACAGTACAGTATTAATCATAAAGAATACGGACAAGAAGATAAAATACGACCAATAATTTTTGATGTGCTTCCATGAAAGCCAAAAAGGCCAAAACTTCTCAAATGGTTTTTTATCCTGACGAAGCTTTTGAGGCTTTAGCCAATTAGCAGAACTAGAAATATCATGAAATAATTTAATTATTTATTTATTTATTTATTTGTTTTTCTACCTGATTGTCAAATTGTCAATAATGTCTGGGTATTTATCAAAAACGTTTTTCAGTTCTTCAAAAGAAATACTTCCATTGTTATCAGCATCAGCAAAATCAAAGAAAGTACTGAAATAAAAATAATAACAAAAATTAATAAGTTATAATGAGTTGGGGTTAATAAATAGCCCTGCAATTTACATGTACATGTACTTATTAACTTCCCAAAAATATGAAAAATTATTTACATGTATGGCCCAAAATTTTTAAAGATTTAGCATTTTTTTTTAATTCCCAAAAATAAAATCCACAAAAATTGATTTAATTAATAACAATTCCAACATGGCCGATCAGTAGAAATCATGAAAATTAAAGCCATCAAATAAAATTTTTGACAAATTTGAAAAATTTTCCAGCCAAAAAAAAATTTCCGCTACATGATATTTTTTAATGAGGTATTGTCAACCTCCATCTCATTGTACATAACCTAATACTACTACTGACAATAATAATACTACTACTAATAATGTATTACTTTGTTAGTGTGTCTAAATTCTCTTCATCAATACTTAACGAGCTTTCACTAACACATGACTTGAGCATAATCCTCAACTCATCATAATCAATACTACCATCACCTAGTGAACAATAACAATAATAATAATAATAGTTATTATTTTTATATGTGTACATGTATGTACAGTGTGGCCTCTATATAATGGACACTTGTAAGTCAAGAAAGTGTCTCTGTTATACAGAGGTGTCCTTTATGTGGAGGTTATTTCATACAATAAGGAATGTAATTGGTACACTAGGTGCTGTCCGTTATATAAATGGAAGTGCACACTATAGAGAGTGTCCATTAAGAGAGACTATACTGTACACGTACTGTACATGTACATGTACATTAAGACACACAAATCACTTACCATCAACATCGTAAACTTGAAATAAAAACTTGAGTTTATCCAGTTGTGTCCCGTTCATTAATAACGTGACTCCATTAATCATCTCATTAAGACTGATGAATCCATTACCGTCTTTATCAAATATTGAAAAGAAACGACTTGCAAAAAATGAAGACTAGAAAATAAAAAATATTAGATACACATGTATCTAAGAAGTAATGTGCCTGTTTTGTTTTGTTCATTTTACACAACTTTAAAAATTCCATTGAGAATTTTTTCCAGGCCATTTTTGACAAAATACCCTGTACTTTGATACAGCGACTTTTGTCGAATATTTAAGCAGCTTCAAAATTTCGTATAAAACCTAACTTGGATCTGAATCAGAAAAAATATATGTATTAGAAAAAATTCTAAAAGTCGAGAATACCCTAAATTTTATTTTGGGAAAAATTTAGCCAAGGACCCTATACTATCCTGTACTATAATAGCACAAGGGATTTCACTGAGTTTCAAAAAATCATTAAAAATCTGAATTTGATCAGAATCAGCTCAAATGTTTTAAGCAACATAAGTACATGTACATGTACATGTACATGTATCAGAAAATGCAGTTACTTGTGATAAATGAAGTGCCTTTCTGAAACCCTCAAAGTCAATCTGTCGATCATCTCCAGCAATGGAAAGGAACTGAGTCTCAAACCACAGTAACCAATTAGCATCTTTATCAACACTATAAAAACAACATTATTATTATTATTATTATAAATACATTTGTAAATAATAATAATTATGTACATTTACAACGCACAAAAATATTATTAATATTATTATTATTTTCAAAATTAATATGATTTATTGGCAAAGAATTACATGTAATATTGGCAATTGGTGATTCTATACAGCCAAAAATTGCTAACAATTCAATCTGAATTATTTTAGAGTTTTTAGTACACCTACTGTTAATGTACATGTATCACAACACTAATTATAGTTTACAACCACTCCAATAGTGTACTCTGAATGGGCACAATATTTTTCTTAAAATGATCATTTAATGCCATTTAAAGTAATGGTAATGGTAGTAGTAATGATATCATTACCCACTAAGCTACATACAACATTACAATTACCATTTATCATTACCAATGAGGTACATATAATGGTACATTGTAATGTTGTATTCAGCCTGTTGGATAATGGCAATGGCAATTGTAATGAAGTTTATAGCTAGTGGGTAATGGCAATGGCAATTGTAATGCTGTTTATGAAATGATAATGGTATAATGAGCACAACCAGTGATACATACATGTACATGTCATGTATATGTACATGTACAAACATACAAACATGCATGTAAATGTACAGTACATACATATACATGTACATGTATATAAGTGCATGTACATGTAAGTAAGAGTACATAATATGTACTCTTGATGTAAGTATTATGCTAAATTAAGAGACAGTAAGTCTTACCAGGAGAGTTTACTTAATGCGTCAATTATTTGAGGTATTTTCATTTTCCTGGAACCACTGATGTTCATTAATAGGAACAACTTGTCAAGAAACTACATGATAATAATAATAATAATAATAATAATAACAATAATGATGATTCTTAAAATGATCATAATAATAGCGTGAATATTATAGACAGTGATGAATGAGTGTGGGCCAAATGATGTCCTTAACAAAGAGGCTACACTGTACATGTACATGTCAATAATAATTAATAATAAGTAAGGTACATGTACATGTACTCAATAATAATAACATACTCCGTTTGTTTCCAGAGCCTTTTTAAAATCGTCAGGTTGGAGGAGCTGATCTTCTCCAGCTGTCTCAATAAATAATGTCTCAAACCAAGAGAGAATCTTATTCTTTTTGTCTTTACTACAAGAGAGAGAGAGTGAGGGAGAGAGAGAGGGGGGGGGAAAGGATGGTTATTTGTGTCTAATACCATTAAACAATTTCATTATTTTAATGATTATTACATGTACAACTACATGTACATTAGATGCTTACACTGTTAATCTGCTTAATCCTCCAATGAGTTCTTGCTGACTGATACTGCCAGACTGATGGACATCAATCAACTGGAACAAGTGATAGGCAAAACCCTATAATAATAACATAATGATAATGTACTTATTACATACTCATGCATGTGTATATTGGGAATTTTGCTTTCAAATTGTCAAATGCCAAAATAAAAATCAATCAAATTAAAGTTCTACAAGGTACACTGTACATGTATGTACATGTCTATAAAATAGTAGTATGCATGTACTAAGATAAAAACCCTATACCAGTTTATTTTCATGGTAAAAAATTTTCACAAGTTTTGCGTTTCTAAAATTTCATAGAATCAGTTTCCTCGAATAGCAGCAGGGTATACATGTACACCATGTGGAAATGGAGATGCAGAATTTCACAGTGAAAATTTTCATGATGGAGCAAAAATGCAAAATTGGCAAAAATATTCAAAATATTTCATCGGAAAAATAAACCGTATACGGTACATACACAATGCTTACTGGTAGGTCAGTGTGTACTGCTGATTTCAAGTCACCCAGTGTCACATACTCTCGACCAGTAGCCACCAGTTGTCCCTCCAGTCTACGCCTGATCCACTCCAGTATCTCCCCAGTGGTCTTCACACTGGTACCAGGAGAGAGGTCCTCATTCTCATCAACAGTGATCACTGTATCACTCTCCTTTATCACCTCAGACCCAGTGAACCTGAACTTACTAGTAGATACAACAGTAGGCTCTGATGTACTGGATAGACTAGAATCACTGACACTTAATGCAGTGTGGTTCACATATACTGCCATTGGAGAGAAAGAGAAAGAGGGGAACAGTAAATAAAAAGATAGAGAAGGAATAATAGAATGAATATACACTACTGCATGTGTATAATACAGACCATGTGTCACTGCTTATATAGGAAATGAGTGCTAGTGTTACAGGAAGTGATGATGTCTACTGTATGATATGAATGTGTATCATAGTCTATAATGAATATAATGTACAGTATAGGGGTTTTATTTTGTTGGTGTAAAATTTTGCGAATTTGTCCAGATTTGCCATTTGTTCGTATAAATTTTCGCGAATGTGCCACACCTCTTTTGTGGAATTTAATTTTGCGAATTTAATGAAAATGCGAAATTTGTGAAATTTTTTTCGGTGAAATATAACCCCTACACGGTACACTCATATTAGTACATGTATACTAGAGATTAACGATATTAGATATTAGATATAAAGATTACAGATTAGAGATTAGAGATTAGGTATGTGTAGTATCTGTCAATAGTGATTTGTGCTTACTAATGATATCACACAATAGTTTAGTATTGTTATTTTAAAATTGTATTTAAGTTCATTCCCTTCCCACCCGTGCAGGTAACTATGTGATACTACTAATGATTGGAGTAATGATAAACATATTGGTGATCAGTGACTGTAATTGTTTCATAATTTTGGCTTAATTAACACTCTCATATATTTGTACCATATTTTACCGATTAAACGCCTGGGCATTTATTTCTTAGCAGCCAAAAAAATTCATTGAAAACAATAATAATAAACTTACTTTGAGTGGGATCGAACCCCCAACTCTGAGCAAGTCAGACCAGGCTCTAACTAATAAGCACTTTGGAGCTAACTAAACAACGAGGCATTATTTTTGGTAGAAATATGCGTATCTATAGCTAGAATATATTAATGACAGGTGTTTATTTGGACCGGACGTTTATATGGTAAAATACGGTATGCACATACTGCAGTACTCCACACATACAAACAAGACTTTGTGTGTAAGATGAGAAAGCAACAATGCACATGTACTACCGTATAGCAGGTAATTTTCGTGGCACTTTATTTTCGTGATTTTCATGGTTTTGGGGCTGCCCACGAAATTTAAACCCACGAAATCATTGAAGTGCCATCCCCTTACAGGCTAATGTAAACTGTCAACCATGAAAATTAAACCACGAATTGCCCCACTAGGAGCAAACCACGAAAATTTAAACCCACAAAAATAACCCGCTATATGGTAACTAGTAAGTACATATATACTGTATAGTGCAAAATTTTTGAGGACTGTAAATTTCACAAATTTTGTTTTTTTGAAGATTCACAAAAACTACATGCACAATTGCAAAAATCAAATTATTACAGTACAAGATGGCAGACAGCATAAATTTGAGAAAATTAAATCCACAAAATAGATTTTTAGGCAAGTTTTCAAATTTACAGCCCTCAAAAATTTGGCGCTACACGGTATGTACATGATGTGGGTATGAGTGACAATTAAATTATTAGTAAATTCAGCAATAGCTACATGTATATGCACGTGTAGTATCTGTTCATAGTGATTTGTACTTACTAATTATATCACATAATAGTTTAGTATTGTTTTTAAAATTGTATTAAAGCAGCTCATTCTTTAATGTGTGGTCTGGTAACTATAATACACGTATACTATTAATGATTTTACAGGTATACTATTAATGATTTGGAGTTACAATAGCGTAAAAGATTTATTAGTGACCAGTGATTATAATTATTTCATAATTTTGGTTTAACACTTCTATTTACCATGTGTAAGTATAGACCAGTTGGTGCTAAGTATATTCATAAAATTTTAAGTATATTCATCGTGATACCGTACATAAAGTAAAATTTTCCTGCTGCCATTTTGGAGTCCAATTTTAAATGGTTGTCTATGGAGCGATCGCAAAAAGAGCTAATTCTCCAAAAACTGCTGTATTTATTCGTGGCAGCAATCTTGCTACTGCTTACTGACCATCATCCAGTGTCTATAGTTGGCTCATGGACTTTAATAAGTGCCACTAGAAGATATAGAAGCAAAGATATTGATTCTACTCTCAGTAAACTATGACTCCAAAATGGCGGTAGGAAAATTTTACTTTATTTACGGTATCACAATGAAATTCTATTAATATACTTAGTGCTAACTGGTCTATAGTGTGTTCCATTAGCTGGAGGGGATATTAAATTAATTCAATTAATTGTGTCATTGTCTCTCAATACAATCTCAGTTCACTAATATTATAATTATTAATGTACAGGAATTCTTAGAGCAATGGGGCATGACAGTTGACACTAAAATTAAAGGCCTTTTCATAGCAGCTGAATTATGTATCATTTTGTGTTCTTGTTGCCATTGGTTTACATTGATCGAAGCGCATCACTTCACATCAATCCACCTCTGGAGGTGAAGTCAATGCACATCAATTTGAAGCCACTCTAGTGTGAACACAATTAATGCACATCAATGCACATTACTTTGGCCAGTGTGAAAAGGCCTTAAGTCAAATGCTTTATTAAAAAAACACAATTACTTAATTAGCTTAATTAGTAATTAGCTAAATCAATAATTAATTGACACTAAGTCAAATGCCTTGTTAAAAAACATGATTACTTGATATAAACGGTAATTTACTAGTGCAACTATACATTATACTATTATATACTTTTTATTATACATTGTAGAATATACATGTACATGTACGTGTAATAAAATGACTTCTGTAAAACCTGATTTTGTAGATTAAACTATTCAATCCAAGAATATTGGGTACACATATACAGCATACTGTACAGCAGGTAAATTTGGAGGGGATAAATTTTGGCAAATTGCTAAATTTTGGTAATTGGCAGATTTTAATTTTGGCGAATTTGTGCCACATGCCATTGAGCATGCGTATAATAGCTCAAAATGGCAGAGTGTTATGGCTATCAAGACGCCAAATTTGCCAAATTTAATCTCCTCCAAAATTAGCCACTATACAGTATGTAGCCCATTAGTACAGAAGGAGAAATAGATCTACTCTTGGTTTATTGACAGGAGAGGCATAAATGGACCATCTATACTTTTAAAGTTACCATTAACACATCCTAGATCTGTCATATTTAGAGTGGAAGGCAATAATGACTAATTATAAAGTGTGAAAGCCCAAAATACACTACAGGCAACATGCTGCTAGCAACATTTGTGGTTGTATCATCTTGTTACAACCCACAAACATAGAGCAAATCTCTTTACATAAGTGCATGTGCATAAAAGTTGCTTAGTGTACATGTATGTTTGGCTTTGTGGGCTAATGCAATTACCTTTTCCTCAAATAAAGCCCAGCTGTCTACCGTATAGCGCTTTAATTTTATGGAGCTAAAATTTCGCAGATTGATAAAAATCAATTTTTCACAGAAATAATTTTTGTGGATTGGCAATGTTAGTGCCACACCTTTAATGGCAATTGAAATTTTAGCGGATCTTTAATTTCACGGTTTCATGCTAACCGCGAAAATAGCAAAAGTTTAGCTCCTCAAAAATAAAGCACTATACGGCATTTCTTAAAATTGGCTTTAGACTACAAAAAAATTTTTTAAAAAACTTGAGTCAACAGCGAGATTCGACGAGGGACCACACGCACAACTTTAGGGGCTTAAGGAGGTATCTACAAGGTATCTAAATGTATGTTATTTTATAGATTTGTGTATTTATAGTTCCGTTTTATTGCTACCCTGAGTACCCCACCTTTATTTGCACCAAGCTTTTATTCAAGGATACACAGTAATAGCTTCAGATACTTGGAAAATGTAAGGAACATACAATGTAGACTATTACCAAAAGTGGATAATTATTCAGTCGTGAGTTTACTAATAATAATCAATAATATCCCAACTATATTACAGATTACACTCCCAGGTAGGTACATGTACCTGGGACTGTCACGTACACATGACTGTCATTATTTTTAATTCAATTAAAATTAAGCATACTTCCCACCCACCACTTAACGCTAACCCAATTGGCATAAAATTGACCCAATTAATTTGCTAATGTCTCACAATGTCGATTTAAATATTTTATTAAAATACAATTAGTAACGTACACCGTAACGTATGAGGACAAATTAGCTTTTAATGTAAATTTGAACAAAGTTTGATTACTTTATTGACAATCATTAATCACTAACAATTAAACAACTACCTGGTTTTTTGAGGGTTGCAAATTTCACAGATTTCAGAAATTCCTTCCTACAGTAGGTTCAGCTGTCCCCTCCCAAATCTCAATTATGTTCTGCCACCGCCACTGACCCTATGCAATATACATATGAGAGAGAGAGAGAGGAAGGGTGATGTACACATAATCAGAATACCATATAAGGGTTTTATTTTGTTGGTATAAGATTTCACGAATTTGTCCAGATTTGCCATTTGTTGGTATAAATTTTCGTGAATCCTACCTTCTGCAGCCATTTTTCCTAGTGTGCCACACCTCTTTTGTGGAATTTAATTTTGCAAATTTAATGAAAATGCTAAATTCACAAAATTTATTTCCAATGAAATATAACCCCTATACGGTACATTCAATTCAGTGTGAGATGATAAGGTACAGTGCATCATTTGTATGTACACATGTACAAGTGCAAGAGTGAAGTGAGACAATGAGCATACATGTACATGTACATATCAAGAAGGACAAAAATATTAATTACTACATTAATAGTGTACACATTGCAAATGATGCCTATCTACTTACACTGATGATATCACTGCTACAGTGTAGTACTGTACTTCCTCTAATAAGGGCATAGGCATAAGCACAGCTACATGTACATGGAGTTACACAAAATACTGGATAAATTTGGTAAAATATGTGTTGTAGTTATAGGCGTTTATTTGAGTATGATGTTTCTTAGAGGAAATACAGTAATTATTGTACATTTACTTACAATACACATAATGCATGGCATTGGCTGCATCATTAAAATTATTCATTACTTTTTATT